CACAGTTTAAAGGGGAACATGGGAGAAACCTCAGGGAGAGCAACAGAGGAGGGATCCCTCTCCCAGGACGGACAGACGTGCAATAGATGCCGTGTGTAAATTGAAAAGATAATACATTTACAACAAAGGTAGACCAGATGTTTGGAAATGCATGTGTGTATAATAGGAAGATAAATCCACGAGGATATCCATCCAGGACCACAGCAACAGGATCATCCATGAATCCGGATCCCGGCGTATATAGACACTAGTGTGCTGTTATTTTGTATATATTGATTGTTGTGCTTTTATGTATGTCTTAATGTGTGCATATGTATAAATGTGTCTGTTGATTGTGTATATAGGTATATACACATTTTTATATATATTTGTTTTTGTATTCGGGATTGTGGGAAACGGTATTTCAATCTCTCTGTCTGGTCACACAAACGAAAAAAGATTGACAATAAAGTTGACTTTGACTTTTGACTTTGACTAAAGAGTCCGTAGAGTTGGTGCTTTGCTGACGTCACGTTGGGAAGACATAGCGCAGATGGAAGTAAATACTGTGTTATAGTAATAGACTTTTTAGTAATTTGCATATTGCATGTATGTTTTGCTTCCATGGAATTCATGTGGTGTTGCAACACAGTCTCACGGCATTTCATGTTATAGTCACGAAATGTAATCTATTGATTCGTGTTCACCAACACCATTTAAACGCAATGTAAATAATAACAAATAAGAAGGAAAAAAAGATTTAAAAAATACTGATTTCAGTATTCTGAGGCTCTGAGCCCCATTTATTTTCCACACGGACGGCAAAAAAACTCTGGCATTATACAATTTAAAATAAAAGGGATAGGGTTAGGCTTAGGGTAAGATATTGAGTAAGAACATGTTTTTATGAACCACACAGCTTCTGGTCTTCCAAGACCCGACCGGACAAAAAGACGTGGTGCAGGCACGAAACATACTACCAATAGAAATACATTGCTTTAAAATCGTTCTGTGTGACACGAAAAAAATGGGAAAATCGTGTTGGTGAACACGAATCAATAGACATACATTTCGTGACTAAAACACGAAATGTCGTGAGACTGGGTTGGGTATTACGGTTGTAGTCCATGTAATAAGACCTGGATTTGCTAGAAAAAAATATATTTATTAGCATTTACCGTGATAATAAGTCTAGTAAAGCAGTGTTTTAGTGGTTTAAGGAAACGTACTGGTGAACTCTGGGACAAAATATTCTTTGTAGCGTCCGTATATGTCCTCCATCTTACAACTAAACACACAAAATCGCGAGAACAACTTCCCAAATTGGGAAATTAGACGATCCCAGGAGCATGTGGATGCAGCTTAATAATGTAAGTACGAGCAAATAAGTCCAAAAAATATGTGAATGTCTGAGTTGTAATCCTAAATTAAGTCTGTACGGCTCATCCTCTTGGGACCATGCATGTCTGCACGCTCGTTCATAACAATCTATTCAAATGGCTGCTAAGATATTTCAGTTTGGAATAAAGAGGTAAACGAACATTGCATTCCCTAAAGCTGCTGGTATGGATTCAATCAACCAGAATAACTGGAACAACCTGCAGAGTAGGGGCTTCAGGGTCTGACACATGAAGAGAAATCTTAAGGAGCTGCTTCACATGGCATGTAGTGCATAAAGTAGAGTCTATTTTCAAGCCAAATGCTGATCACCTTAACGACTGGAGGCATCACTAAATGAGCTTTAAACCCTTCTTCTGGACACGGGTTCATCTGTGATTAATCTGCAGTTGTTCAGATCTGTTCACATTTGGGTCTGATCCATCTCGGTCAGACATGTTGTGATGCTTTCTGTGTCCGGGACAAATTGTAGACTTCTCCGTACTGGAAGTTATTGAGAGTTTGTGCACAAGGAGAACAGAGCAGGTATTCATCACGGAGCCATGACACAGCAACAACAGCTGTCTCCACTGATTAGTTCCTCTTCCTCGCGCCTCAGGAAGCTAATCAGAGGAATCCATTGCGGCTTGAATGAGAAACTGTGTGTTCTGTCACGATGCTGGAGAGTTCATACAGAAGGTGCTGCAGTACAAAAGTGTGATGAAGAGTCTGTCATGTGCTCGTTAAGCCCCTCTCTTTTCTTTGGTCTCCTCATTCTACGGTGGCCTACAGGTGCGAAATGCGTACGGCCTAAAAAGAAGCAAATATAAAAACACAAACGTTCCTAAACACCTGCGATGAAAATACATCTCCACCAACTTCAGGAAACATGTGCAGCGTTTACTAAAAGCTGCATAAACCAAACGTTGCAAATACAAAACGCTGCAAGATGCTCAAAACACATCGGAGACCAGGGGACACTAAACAGTGACGCACACAGCTGGGAGACCAGGGGACACTAAACAGTGACGCACACAGCTGGGAGACCAGGGGACACTAAAAAGCGACGCACACAGCTGGGAGACCAGGGGACACTAAAAAGCGACGCACACAGTTTCCTGTTGTGTTTTGAGCTTCTTGCAGCGTTTTGAATTTGCAGCTTTTAGTAAACGCTGCGCATGTTTCCTCAAGTCGGTGGAGATGTTTCTTAATTTGAATGCATTTTGGAACATTTGTGTTTTCATATATGCACGGTTTCTTAAAACTGCAGCTGTGTTTGGGCTGCTGTAACTCTTTTGCACCTGTTATCCACCGTATATATCTAAAAGAATCCAATTGCCTGCAGATCATTTATCACTCAGAGCTGTTCCGCGGCCTGCTTTGATCCGGTCTGTTTCATGTTTCCTGCTCTGTCTCCTTTCTCGCTCAGAAACACCTTCTACACCTCCAGCCTACAAATGCACTTCCATGGATGCACGTCACAGAACTTGTCGTCATTAAGTTGATTTAATTGCTGTGTCTCGTGGATATGGTGCTAAAAGTAACCACCTGTGTATAAATCTTAAAAGATCAGAGCACTTGCCGACATCATGAAGGTCTCTTGAGCACATTTTCTCTCCCTGTGGCTGATATTGAACGTCCTGGCAACTCTGCGGTCGTTCTTTTCGTCCGAGCCGATGAACGACGCCCTCGCTTTCGCACGGAGAGCATCCAGAGTCAGAGTGTAGCGGATACCTGCAGGGTAAAGAAAAAAAAAAGGAACATTTATTTATGAAACACAGCTAATTTGGACGTGAGGAGGCAGAGACATGTATTTGTTTGTATGTTTGATAGGGACAAATCTAATGCTAACTCTAATTTAGACTTTTTGGAGTTACTTTTGTTGGTGTGCCTATGAAGTGAACTGAATGATGTTGTTACCCAACTAAACCCTTTTTTGAGCAGATTGAACTATAGATATTGAACTATTGAACTGCACACATTTCACAGACTGATATTATATGTTGTTTTTCCCTTAATGAATACACAGGATGAAAATTGAAATGGATGTGTGATTTATTTGTGATGGATGTGATATTTCACTTTAACTTATGTGTATGGTTTGCCTGAACTATTTCTGTTAACTATTTTTGATTGTTTTTCGTCAGACTTGACTCTGACTGGCACCCCGATTAATAGCAAATATGTAAAATCCACTAAAACATCCGTAGTAGCTTAAACTAGATGAAGGGCTCACCTGCAGCTGGGTGTTCGGCCTGCTGGTCAGATTTGATGCTGTAGACGAAACACACCTCCGTCTTCACACACACAGATTTACGTCCTCCGTGCTCACACTGATGCTGAGCCTGCTGCAGGTTAATCTTAACGGGGTCGAAGGTCATGTTGCCTCGGAGCTCTGCGACGTCTCTGGACCTGGAGATAGAAAACAGACGTGCAAAAGTCCAGAAAACTGTCTGTGCAACGTGTGCAATAAACCTGTAACGTCTGATATATAGAACACCTTTGCAATTCTACTATGCAATTATAATCACTTTTATGTGCAATAAAACATATTTTTATTATATCTCAAAACATTAATATGTTCACTCATTCTCAGCCATGGATGAGTACTTATTTTTCTTTATTTGAATAACTAAATGTGCTATTTTTTAGCTAAAAGCTGCATAAACCAAACGCTGCAAGAAGCTCAAAACACATCTGGGAGACCAGGGGACACTAAAGAGTGACGCACACAGCTGGGAGGCCAGGGGACACTAAAGAGTGACGCACACAGCAGGGAGGCCAGGGGACACTAAAGAGTGACGCACACAGCTGGAGAACAGGGGACACTAAAGAGTGACGCACACAGCAGGGAGGCCAGGGGACACTAAAGAGTGACGCACACAGCTGGGAGACCAGGGGACACTAAAGAGTGACGCACACAGCAGGGAGAC